TCCTGGTAGGGGATGTCCGCCAGGCTGAATCCCTTGGCGCTGTACGCCTGGCGGACCTCGCCGCAGCTCCGAGCCTTCACATCCGCCCCGGCCGGGAGGGACAGCAGCAGCCCGGAGAGGGGAAGAATCACAGCCCCGATCCAAGAAGGCATGGTGCACCATGCAAATCCAGCTCGGTCAGCCCCTCGGCCCGTGCGCTCTTCACCTTGCCCCTCGAGCCGAAAGCCCGCCAGAGGGACGAGCAGCGCAGCCCTCTGGACCGCGCTCAGCAAACTTTTATAAGCCAGATGGAGATGGCAAGCCAACCGGGACTGGCTGGGAGAGCAGCCGCCTGGCTCCTCTAGCCCCCCAGGTCGAAAAGGGTGCAATCAGAACGAGAGAGAGAAGGAAATGTTTCCAAATCCACCATGAGGGTTCCGAGCCGCGATCCGAGTTCCGAGCCGCAGAATCCTAGAGCGCTGCGAGCTCGACTGGCCGAAGTGTGCGGCGGAGGTGGGGACGCGCGCCGGCTCTCCCGGGAGGGAGGTGGACGGGCGAGCGCGAGTGTGTGCGCGCGTGTGTGTCGGTGCGAGCGCGGGTCTTGGGGATGTGTCTGCGTGGAGGTATGTGTTGGGGATATACGGGTTCCAGAGGAAACCTCAGTTTCACACAGGCTGAGGGAGCCTGTGAGAGAGTCCTCCTGAAATAGGAAAAGAGGAATCCTGGAGGCTAGAGGAAAAGAGAAAGGAGGGGAGAGGGAGAAACGTGCTACTTAGTGCACAGCCGAAATTCAGAGACGAAGTCGAACGGAAAACCTGGACTGGATCTGTTTCTACTTGGTGGAAGAAAAAAAAGGGGGGGGGCGGGGGCAAGGAACGTTCCTGTTTTCCCATTCCCATCACATCCTTCATACTGATCCGAATGCTACCTTTAATGGCATAAGTAATAAATGTAGAAAAACAGTTTTTTAAGTCATTCACTCCTATGTTTTAAACTATATTTTTGTGGACGTTAAGGGACAGTGTAATTTCAATTGTTGCTCTTAATATCTTCATGACCTGCTGAAACACAAAGCCAGCCTGGAGATAAACAGGGAAAGCCCTCGATAGCAGAGCACACTCACTCTATTTCACTGTTTAAGTTTTGTTTGTCTTGTTCGTTTTTGTTTTCTAAGGGCAGTCTGTGCACACATGAGAGACCAGTGGTTTTTAATTTTTTAATTTTTTGTTTCTGGACCCAAAACTTGCCCTCATTTTAATTTTAAGTATTTCGTGATTTTGGATCAAAAATCATTATGCTCAGAGACATGGAAGCATGGAACAAAGTGTGGAATCTCAGAGGGAAGGTAGGGGAGGGTGGGTGGATGGGAGGTAATCAACCAAAGACCTTGTATGAATGTATGAATAACTCATAGACACAAACAATAGGGTGCTGAAGGCCTGGGGGGGGGTCCAATGGAGGAAAAAGAGGGACATATGTAATACTTTCAACAATAAAGAATTATTTTAAAAAATAAATAAAGATCAAAAAATCAGGCTCAGGTTTCTAGTGTGTGGAGGAACTGGAAGACACGAACACAGAAGCAAAGGGAAAAACAGGGCAGAGGTCAATGGGGTACATGAAGGAAGATATTGGGGAAAGGAGTGATATCTGCCTTCCCTCTCCCCAAATGATCTCACCTGGTAGACTTAACATTTTCTTTCAGGTTAACAGAATTCTCAAGTGGAAAATCAGTTCACTTTCTTCCTGTCTTACACTCAAGTTCTGTGAAATGGGATAAAAGTGAAAACTCAGGGTTGGCTCATTTCCATTGACTTTCTGTAAATGAACACTGAATTCTGCTATGCAGAAGTCTGTTAAAACCCAAAGTTCCTGCAGTTGCTAAAATAGTTAAATCCAAGACACACACACACACACACACACACACACACACACAAAAGATAATGATTACTCACTTGTGTGGCCATATGCATATTAGACCAGCATATTATTTAGAAATTATTATAAATGTAATGTCCAATTGCATGGAGCTTATCTGTAAAACCACACATGAAGATGGGTTTGTTTGTTTTTTCTGTTGATGATCAGAATGACTCATGAAATTTAAGTCATTCTATTTTTTTTTCAGTATCCCAGTCATACTTATCTTCTTCTTCATCATCATCATCATAATCACACATTAGATACTTTCCTTCTGCTCTTTAATAAATTTCTCCTCTCTTAATCCACCAAAAAATTCTTAAATTTAAGATCCAACCTCATTTAAGCTATGGAAATGCTGTAGAAATGTTGCTGTCCTATTTTGTGCCACGCCAGCACGACCAAGGGTGATCCCAAGTGGAGGGGTGAAAGGATTAAGGAAAGACAGACAAGAGAATGATAGCTGGGTAGCTGAGTCTCGGTGGGACGCTGCCTCCCTGATGAGGAGACAATGACAGCGCCCACAAGCCATGTCTTTATTTTATAGCAGATGCCACAAGGCAAAGTAGGGGCGTGATCACGTTGTTTACAGCATTCTCGTGAGTTTCAACCTCACTTAACTACATGCACCTGAACTCTATCACAAGGCATGCCACGCGTTTGGACCATAGGTTCAAGCTTACAACCACAGCCGTTGGCTATGATTGTGCTGGGAGGGCCCTGCCCTCCAGCTGGGACTTGCACGTGGCAATGAGAGGAGCCTGTCCTTTCATTAGTCCGAGGCTTGAACCTGGCCAAAACACCGTAACCGCGCCCCACACCATTTACAGAGGGACTTTTTCTTCTTCACAAGTCCATAGTTAAACATGTCTTTTGGAAAACAACAGACACATTACATATTTTTTTCTCTTAAAAATTTATCAGAACTTTTGCCCTCATTATAACTGTGCTAACTGGTAGACCTTAAGTTTCTGAATTTATTTTCCTCGAAGTCTGAAATCAAGATAACAAAATATGCTCTAGTGTCTTTGTGGACAAAGGATAGAATTGGTAAGATTAGGGATTGTGTAGTCAACTCATTATTTTTCTGATATTTGACATGGCCTCCCTCAAAGTTCAGTTTCTATCACAAGCAGGTGGTCAGCATTATGCAATCCATAGGAAGAGGGTAACTATGCAGCTAACATCCTATCCTTTCACACTGAGACTTATAATTTACCCTGACCCTAGCAGTACATAGCAGATAATCCAATAAAAAGGACATTTGAGGTGGAGGAAGACCAAGTAAAAACAGTGTACATGGTTTAAATTATTTAAAAATCTATCAATCATTATGTTTTTAATGAGCATTCAGTGCAAATATATAGCACTAGGTTATTTCCTACATTTATACAATAACCTTAGCATTTGTGGCAAAACTTGTATATGGGGAAAAAATTATAACTTAAAGCATAAATGGATTAGTTTCAGTCCATCAGTAGTGGCAGCAGGTGGGGGGGGCACAATTTAGAGTAGGATTCTGAACTCTTAAGTGACTGGCTTTACTGGTGCTCTCAACCCCTTCTCTGTCCATAGTGGTTAATGTAGCCCTGTTTGAAAAGGTATACAGACATGTTCCAGCTGAGGGCAGCGGCAGAGCCTAAATGAGGTACTGGAATGTGCACTGAATAGCATTGAAGTCCACAGAAGAGGTGTGATGAGAAAGGAGAGCTCATATGAAGAAAAAGTTGGCATTTGGTTTAGATAGGAAGAAAGGACTTGACTGACTTTAGCCAGTCAGAAAAAGACAAGTATCACATGACCTCACGCATATGTGGAATCTAATGAACAAAATGAACTGATGAACAAAATAGAGCCACAGACATAGAAGCTTGGAATAGACTGAAGAATCTCAGAGGGAAGGCAGGGGTGTGGGGTAGGTGGGGAGAGATTAACCAAAGAACTTATATGCATATATGCATAGCCCATGGACACAAACAAAAGTGTGGAGGGATAGAGGGGGTCAATGGGGCAGAAAAGAGGGACATCTATAATACTTGCAACAATAAAAATAATTTTTAAATAAAATTTTTGAAAAAAGAAAGAAAGGACTTGAATCTCAGGAGTAATGTTTATATTGTATGTAATAGGATAAAATTTAGAACATGGAAGAACATCACACCAGAGGAGACAAACAAATAGAAGCAAGAGAGAGGCAAATAGGGAAACACATAGAACTCTGCCACAGTGGTAAAGGTTTCAGGTGATTGAGACTTGAATAGGAGGAGAGTGAATGGAAAGAAGGCAAAGACAAATTTTGAAGAAAGGATTAGGATGTTTTGGTCCTTGGTTCAATACACACAGCAGCACGCCCCCCCCCAAAAAAAAAAAACCTTATTTTACTTTTTTTTTTTTTAATGCATAATATGGGAGAGCTTTTCTGGGTTTATTTCTCTTTTTTTTTCTTTATTGATTAAGGTATGTGTCCTTACCCCCCTCCCATTGACCCCTCCCACCTCCCCACTCATGCCCTCACCCCCCTGTTGTCTGTGTCCATTGGAACAACACCTTATTTTAAAATTGTAAGTCTCATTGGGAAAATATTTACTAATATTTTCATTAGTATGAGCTCTCCTTTCTAGTCAGACCTCTTCTATGAGCTTCCATGATATTCAGTGCTCATCCCAATACCTCATTTAGGCTCTGCCCTCAGCTGGAATGGAAAACATATACGTTTTCTAACAGGGCTACATTAACTAACAAAGGAGGGGTTGAGAGCACCAGTAAAGCCAGTTACTTAGAGTTCACAATCCCACTCTAATGTTTACCTCATTGGGAATATTTGCTAAGACAATGAAGACTCTTGTTTATACAGAACTTTCACATCACAGCAACCTCTTTGGGCATAAGACGAATGGAATTTCAGAGGCTTTGAGTCAGAGAGAGGAAAATACTGAGGCTTAAGGAGCAACCGTAGTTGATAGGTAAGCAGAGCTGTTTCAGTCAGTTGCCTACTCACTGGCCATCAGATCTTCTTCCTGGCCACCCTCAGACTGATTGTGTTTTGGGGCATTTGCCAACACCAGAGGATGAATCACCATTGATCTAGACCAGTCATGGCAGTACTCTCCCTCCCCCCCCCCCCCCCCGCACTTTAAATAGTATAGGGGTGGGCATAAGGCCTATTTCTGGCCAATAAGATATAAAAAGAAGATTTCTGAGAAATATATTTTTCCTTATTTAAGGTGACAACTCAAGGAGGAGAAAGGTCTTTGTGCCTCAGCCTCCTGCATTCTTTTTTTTTTATCCTCACCTGAGGATGTTTTTTCATTGATTTTAGGGAGAGTGGAAGAAAGAGGGAAAGACAGAGAGAAACACACCAATTGGTTGCCTTGTGCATGAACCCCAACCAGGGCCCGGGCTGGGAAGGAGCCTGCAACTACTGAGCCAAACCAGCTAGGGCAGCCCTCTGCATTCTTATAGCCATTTGGTCATCCTGTAACTAGTTGAAAAGAGATTGCTAACAAAGAATGACAGAACATAAGGGTGGAACACAAGAAGATAAATTCATGATTTCCTATTTGAGTCACCAAATCAGCTCTGGGACCACCAACCTCTGGACTTCTTGTTAAATAATCCAAAAATAATCCTTATAATTTATGCCACTGCCAGTTGGTTATTCTGCTGTTTATCAGTGAAAGCAATACAAATGCATAATAGCAAACAAAAGAAAGAACGAGTGAAAGTGAAGGCAAGAGACAGGGATTCATTGCAAATGTAAGAGCAAAAATCAGGGAGCATCATAGAATCCAAGTTAGATTTTCAAACATAAAACAAATCCCAGCGGATATCAAGGACAAGAAAGATGGAGAAAATGATATTTATATGAGGACTAGAGGCCTGGTGCACGAAATTTGTGCACTGGTTTGGGGGGGTGGGGGGGCGTGTCCCTCAGCCTGGCCTGCGCCCTCTTGCAGTCCGGGACCCCTCACTCCTTACCACCCACCTGCTCACTGTTTCTTAGCGCTGCCAAAGGCATT